CCTACCTCCTTTACTCTTTTACTTCCCTTCCTCTTTCACCTTCCTCCTTTACTTATTTACGCCCCTTCCTCTTTCACCCTTTTCCTTCCCTTCCTCTTTCACCCTTTTCCTTCCCTTCCTCTTTCACCCTTTTCCTTTTACGTCCCTCCCTCCCTCACCCCCAGTCTCTCTCGCCCTCTCCCGCACCCAACACACGTCGCGCCCACGAAGGTCTCTGGCGGGCGGGCGTCAATATTCCGCCCCTTCACGCAAGTCGGTCACCTCGACACCACGGGCCCAGAACGCCTCCCGGTTGTTCACTTGTTAATTCATCGGCAATTACTGGGCGGAACCGGGAGTGAAAGGGAGATCCTCCCCCCCTTCGCCCCGGTTAGGCTTCCCTCCCTCCCTCCCTCTCTTCCTTCGCTTACATTCCCTCCTTTTCCTTCTCCTTCTTCTGCTTCTGTCAACGTCTTATAGAATGCTAAGTCGAGGCCACGCTGTGTGAGGGTTTTCAATCAGGTCTTGTGTGCTGAATATTGCTTTCTCCATTATATACATGTGTATGTATTTATCTGTTTGATTTTCATCTATTCATTGTTTTTTGTTTTTGTTTTTGTTTTCTTTTACCTATTATCATCGCTATTTTGTCTTTCCCACGTGTTGACAGTAAAGTCTTAATTCCGTCGTTACGGAATGTGTATTGTCTTTTTTGTGAGCGGGCTGTTCGCGCGCGCCCCTTGCGGTAGCCCAGTTTCGGTTCTGCGGTCGACTTGTATTTCGAGAGCCTTACTTCTGTGCGGATCTTTGAGCTTTTGGACAGCTTTAGGAGATTAAGTATGGGTGGTAGACAAGGAAGTAGAAGCAGGAGAAGAAGAGGAAGAAGAAGCAGCAGGAGAAGAAGAAGAAGTAGCAGGAGAAGAAGAAAATAAATGTCTTCGTTAGAGTTAGTTGATTATCCCCGATGGCTGTTATGGGTAGAAATGCCGTTGCGCGCTACGTTCCTGCCCGTGGTCCCGAGAGAAGCGGCAGAGAAGTCCCGCTGGCTGAGGCGATAGCTAGCACATCCATTATGCTTATGGGAACGCAACTGCCATAGCCATCTGGCGGCCGCGGCGTGGCAGCCTGTCGCACCTCCGCCGCCATTCTTACGATTGTTGTAGAAGATGGCGTACGGTAATGGGGGGGGGGCCTACTTCCTGGAATTCCTCTGTTTACGGAAATGCGTTGGAGATCTGATGATGCAGATTGAAGAGTGAACTTGGTTGTTATTTGTATGGCAACGAATAGCATGTAGTTCGTTTATGGTTCATGGAACTAGCCTACTTGTGTATCCAAAATTAAGTATTGTAGAAAGTATGACGTGATTGAGAAGTGTGAAGCATTTATTCATTTTTCTAAAATATGTTCATTGCACAAAAGACCATGAAGAGATTTAGAAAAAGACGGAGCCGTTTTTGGAATTGCCCTGTCGGCGCCAGGCATTGATTCTCTCTATACAGTAAAACGACAAAAGAGAAAAGTTCTTTAATTATTTTCTTACTTTGTGTCGCCAGCACTATCAGTCATTGTCGTGGCTGGATCTTGATACGAACTTCCGCTGCCAGCAAGAGAAATCGACAAATAACAAACAGATTGTGTTTTTTTTTCGAAAGTTTTTATTTTCTGTTGTTGATTGTTTTGTACTAGATTTTTATTTTTTTCCTTCTCTCTCTATCTCCCCCCCTCCTCATACCTCTTCTTTTCCCTCTCCCTCTCTTTTTTTCTCTCTCTCGTTCTCCCTCTCCCAATTCACCTACATAGCCTACATCTCTCTCTCTCTCTCTCTCTCTCTCTCTCTCTCTCTCTCTCTCTCTCTCTCTCTCTCTCTCTTCCTTTCTTCTTCTAACCCTCTTTCTCTCCTTCCCTTTCTCTCCTTCCCTTTCTCTTCTCCTCTCTTTCTTTCTTTTTCTCTTTTTCTCTTTTTCTCTTTCTCTCTTTCTTTCTTTCTCTCTCCCCCCCCCTCTCTCTCTCTCTCTCTCTCTCTCTCTCTCTCTCTCTCTCTCTCTCTCTCTCTCTCTCTCTCTCTCTCTCTCTCTCTCTCCTCTCCCTCTCCCTCTCCCTCTCCTTCCCTCCCTCCCTCTCTCCCTCTCTCCCTCCCTCCTTCCCTCCTTCCCCTCCCTCCTTCCCTCCCCCCCCTCCCTTGAACAAACGGACCGCCGGTGTAATAGCGCGACCTGCCTCCGTCGAGAGACCGGAACCATTATTTTAGAAGAGCAATTGGGCTTGTCCAATATCGCTGTTGCATTTCCTTGCAGGTGAAGACTGGGTGTTGCATCATGACATCATAGTTTTTTTTTGTGTTCAGCTTCCTCTCGTTCGTCTGCGATTCTTGTATGTAATTGATTTGATGATATTACGTCTTGAAGTATGATGTCGATTGGTGTTGTTGGGCGGTAAATAATATTGATTATTTGCAATCATGATGGTAAGGGTGTTATGATATAGAATACTTGTACCAAAGACTAGAATCGTATGTTAG